TTTTGCAGTGTTCCCTCTCCTTCCCTCCCACCCCTGACAACCAACAAAGAAAGTTTCCCTCCATATATAAACCTTTCCTTGACCCTCCACAACAACGAACTAATATTATATTTGTCCTTCTGTGGTTTACTTATTTCACTCAGCATAATGTTGTCTAAGTTCATCCATGTTATGCCATGTTTTGCAGACTCTACTTTGTTCTTTAGTGCTGCATGGCATTCCATTATGTGTATGTACCATAGTTTGGCCATCCACTCTTCCACTGATGGGCACGTAGATTGTTTCCGTCTTTTTCCTATTGTAAATAGTGCTGCGATGAACATGGATGTGCATATATCTGTTCCTGTCCTGGCTCTCACCTCTCTAGGATATATACCTAGTAATGGGATTGCTGGGTCAAATGGTGTCTCCAATTCCAGCTTTCTAGGGAATCGCTGTATTGCTTTCCACAGTGGTTGTATCACTTCACAGTCCCACCAGCAGTGTATGAGAGTCCCAATCTCTCTACACCCCCGCCAGCATTTGTTATTTTCTGTCTCGTTGAACCTTGCCATCAGTGCTAGGGTGAGATGGTATCTCATTGTTGATTTGATTTGCATCTCCCTGATGGCCAATGATTCTCTCTTCATGTATTACCTGGTCACCTGAATATCCTCCTTGGTGAAGTGTCTATTCATGTCTTCTGCCCATTTTTCAACTGGATTGCTAATTCCTTTGGTGTTGAGGCATTGGAATTTTCTATAAATCTTAATAAGTCCCTTGCCAGATACGTAATTATCGGCAAATATGAATTTGTTGCTCTCATTTTTGTCATGTGCTGTTTCGTAGTGTCGATTTCTTTGTTCCATGTAATTTTCTATTCTGAGCTCGTTTTATGAATCATGTTATCACTTCCTTTGTTGTTATTGTTTTAATATTTGCTAAATATTTGTGCTGGTCCTCTTTTTTATTTGGATGTGAAGGTTTATCATTTTTCTTTGAGGTTACCCTGTGATTTATAGTTTTCTTCCCAAGTTTAAAACAGTCTGTTCTATCTTGTAGTTGTCTTGACATCCCTACCATCTAGAAGTTCTGTAATGACACAGTTTTTTTCCCTCTTTTTGGTTTGTAGTTGTCCTCATTTGTCAATTGATGTCTCTGGTTCCTTGTT